GACATACATATTTATTTATATGTCTCTGTATATGTCGATCGCCCCAAGATGGCGCCACCCACTCATTAAATGTCTATGGTCTCCATGTGTTCTTTCTTCTTCTCCTCCTTTTCATTTCCTTTTTTCTTTTAGTCTCTCCTTTTAATCTGATCCCATGCAGTCATTTTATTGAAAGTATTTTTTAAAATCATAAATGTAATGAATGTTATCCAATAAGTGAGAACTGCAGAGGCATAATGTATATGAGGAGTTTATGGGGCCCTCAGGAACTTAGGGCTCCAGGTAACCGCCCACTGTTGGCTAATGGTAACTCTGCCACTGGGCTGTTATGGTAACCAGTGGAAATCTGTGTAAATATGAAAAGGTGGTTTAAATGTTGGGGGGTATAACCCTAAACAATCCTCTCTGGCATCAAAGCGTTTTTTTTTCTGCCTGGATGATCTCTGTCTGGGAAAAAAGCCACATGAGAGCGGGATCTTTTTCTTTCTAAACCAACATGATTTCATCCTCTCTGGTTTCTTTGAAGCTTGTTTGCATTTTCTCATGTTTGCATGATCCAAGTTATGTTTTAAATGTTAAAAGTGAAACCAGTGAGAAATCTGCAGGTTCTAAACATTTTTCCAGCTTTAATGGTCACGTTTTAGTGCACAAACCAGGAACTTTGGCTTTTTCCATAATCAGCCGAACAAACAACCTCACATGTGATGAGCACGCTTAAAGCGGGTTCAAAGGGAGAAATCAGAATAATAATATTGCGTACGGGTGGCTTGCAGTAATGTAAAGCCTTTAACCTTTGAGCGGGGGTCAGTCAGAAAGCTGACAGGTGGAGGCAGGGGGATGATGGAGCTTTTTGATCTTCGTCCTTCACCTGTTATAGAGTTTGTGATCAATAGGCAGAGATGCGGCCCAGAGGTTCATAAAAAAACAGGAATTTCTGTTGAACTTGTGCAACAGCAGCATTTTCAGAAACCTGATTCTGAGTTTATCTTTGTCCCTGGAGGAGAGTCTGGAGACTCCTTCAGCGTCTGCTGTTCCTTTAAAGGAATCTGCTGGGTCAGATGTGACCTCTGACCTGCCAACCAAATCAGCTACTGTCTGCTGATATGAGCAGGGGAGGCTGTGCGCCTCAGTACAAAAAAAGGAACATCCAATGAACAACATTCTCTGCTTTCTTTAGTACAAAATGTTGCTCTTTTCAAAGTCTCAATGAACACTGATTTTTTTAGCACCAAATTTTAAACACTGAATTTTTTTAATTCATTGGATTCCTTACACTAAATTTTTATGTGGAAGAAATTCAGCTGCAAAAAAATTCCGCTGCAAAAATCAGCTGCAAAAAAAATCAGCTGCAAAAGATCCAGCTGCAAAAAAAAAAAAAAACAGCTGCAAAAAATTAACCTGCAAAAAATTCAGCTGCAAAAATTTCAGCTGTAAAATATTCAGCTGCAAAA